GTTCTTGATAATTTCTTGACTTCTCTATGGCATCCTAAATGGTAGTAGTATAGTTGTGCTTATGGTGGCCTCGTATTGAGGGAACTGTACTGTATGTACGTGGTCTTACATCTTATTTCACTCAATATTGTGTCTGTGACAGTTCTCCATGAAGCCATAGTCTGCCTCTCTTCAGTGCATTCTGAAAACACGGACAGATGCTGCTGCTGGCCTCCGCTTGCCTGCCCCCGGGGACAGGCAGGACTCCCTCTAGTTATGCACATGAGTGTGCAGCGGTTTGCTGGGCTGCATGGGAGGCACGACTTCAATTTTGTTAGATTCTGCCAAAATCTTTTCCAAAGTAATTTAACCAGCTAGGCTCCCAGGAGTAGTGGGAAAGAACTCCCGCCACTCCATGCCTTCCTCCAGCAGGAGAGAGAGAAGGCTCACTGGCTGCAAACCCATGAAGCAGCAGCACCTCTCCTGGTCTTGCTGTGGGGCTCCTTGGTCAGGCTGAAGACCTCTTTGTAGTTTATTGGTCAAAAGCTTGCTGTGGGATCCTAACGGTTTTTTTTTTTTTTTGAAAAGGGTATCTCTGTTGCTTAGGCTAGAATGCGGTGGCATAACTATAGCTCACTGCAGCCTCAAACTCCTGGGCTCAAGGGATCCTCCTGCCTCAATTTCCTTAGTAGCTGGGACTACAGGGATATGCCACCACGCCTGGCTAATTTTTAATTTTTCTTGCAGAGTTGGGGTCTATGTTGTCCAGGTCTCAAACTCCTGGGCTCAAGCAATCCTCTTACCTTGGCCTCCTAAAGCGCTGGGATCACAGGCATGAGCCACTATGCCCAGTCCTCCACAGCTTTATGATATTAATCCTTCCTATCTTTGGATAATGAATCTCTGTGATTTAGATCTTTTTTTTTTTTTTTGAGATGGTGTTTCACTCTTGTTGCCAAGGCTGGAGTGCGATGGCGCGATCTCGGCTCACGGCAACCTCCGCCTCCTGGGTTCAAGGGATTCTCCTGCCTCAGCTCCCGAGTAGCTGGGATTACAGGCATGTACCACCACGCCTGGCTAATTTTGTATTTTTAGTAGAGACGGGTTTCTCCATGTTGGTCAAGCTGGTCTCACTTCTGACCTCAGGTGATCCACCTGTCTCGGCCTCCCAAAGTGCGATTTAGATCTTCTTTAATGTTTTTTTCCAGTAAAGTTTCATAGTCTTTTGTATACAAGTCTTACGCAACTTAGTCAGATTTATCCATGGATGCTGCAGACTTTGGTGCTATTATAAATGTGCTCTTTTTATCTGAGCTACATTTCTAATTATTTGTGGTTTAGAGAAAAATAACTTTTTTTTTTAGACAGGGTCTTGCTCTGTTGCCCAAGCTGGAGTGCAGTGGTACCATCTTGGCTCACTGCAGCTTTGATCTCCTGGCCTCAAGGGATCCTTCCACCTCAGCCTCCCGAGTAGCTGGGACCACAGGTGCACGTCACCACACCTGGCTAATTATTTTATTTTTTGTAGAGACAATGTCTCACTATGTTGCTCAGGCTGGTCTCAAACTCCTGGGCTCAAGCGATCCTTCCACCTCAGCCTCACAAAATGTTGAAATTACAGGCGTGAGCCACCGTGTTCTGTTTAAAAACAAAAAAACAAATGCAAATAACTTCCGTACTGATCCTACACAGTTAGCCCCTTGCTGTTAAGTTCTTTTCTATTTCCAATGTAGACAATTACATCATCTGCAAAATTGAGTTTTATTTCCTCTTTTCTATTCCTTTAGCCTAGGAATTACAATTTAAGGTTGAAAATAAAATCCTTTTTTTTGGAATCTACTGATCCATAATCTACTGAGCCATGATCATATGGCTCTTCTTTAATATATTCATGTAGCAACTAATATTAATGGATTTTCTAGCTGGGTACGAGGGCTCACACCTATAATCCTGGCACTTGGGGAGGCCGTGGTGGCAGATCACTTGAGGCAGGAGTTCGAGACCAGCTTGGGCAACATGGTGAAACCCCATTTCTACAAAAAAAAA